TTGAGTAAAAGAGGAAACGCGATCTGGATAATATCATTATGTGTGAATGTGACGCTTCTTTAAGATTCTCTCCTTTCCCTTTTTTTTTTTTTTCCTTTTTGTTGCTTATTTTTCTCCCACAACTCCTAAGGAATATTCCTCCACCTCTACAAAATGTATGTAAATATTTGAAAAAAAATGTAATTTAAAATGATATATTCTAAATTGATTCTCTTTAGGTAGTACCTTTTTATTTTCTTTTTGGTGTGATTCCTTTTTTTTAATTTAAGTCGATGTCAAACATTTATGTAAAAATAAATTTTTTAGTTTTCTGATATCTTATTTAACGGAAAAATACATAATAGAATCTACAATAGTAGTAGTAGTAGTATATTCTTCTTCCCTCGTTTTGCTTAAACTATACGATATGGAGTATAAATTAAAAAATTAATGTGCATTTGTTTTTTATAATAACAGGGAAGAAAAGAACGAACGGTAAGGTCAATAAACAAATTAGTACATGACTCAAAAAATGGAGTCTTCGTCGTCGTCGTCGTTCTTATCTGAACGTCATGGGGAATGCTGACGTCATCGCCAGATGTGATTGAATATGGAAAGGGAATCCCCCCCCAATCTCCTCGAATATTCCTCTCTCTTTGTTATATGATAGAATTGATGAATCAACAAACCAATCCTTATCTTATGGGGGGTATTGGGAGAATGATTTTTAAAGATTCTTAAAGTTTAAAATTCTCTTGTTATTGGTTTATGGATTCTTGAATTCTTACTAAAGTCTTTTGTTATTGGTATGATGATTTTGTAATTCATTTAAAATCTTGTGTTATTGGTGTGTTGATTTTTAAAAATCTTTTACAATCATTTGTTATTCAAAAAGTTGTGAATTCATTGATTTTGCAATTCTATTAAACTCTAGTGTTATTGAGAAAATGATTTTATACACATTTACACATTAACAACAACTTTCAAAATCCTCTACTCATCCTAGATATTTGCAAAGTTTATAAGAAGTATAATCCAAACGTAAACGTATCACGTATGTCATCTTATAAAAAAAAAATATGTTTGGATAACAAACTCAAGTAACAAAATCCAAACATAATAAAATAACGTATCATGAGTATCATCTTTATAAAAAAAACATATGTTTGGATAACAAACTCCTCCAAAGATAATCAAACGTATGATGAGAGACATGAAACAACGTTTTCTCTCGTCGTGACACCAACCTGAAACTCCGTCACGTCACCTAACTTCGTCATCTGATCATTATCATCACAATCAACTAGATATAACTCAAAACAAGAAAATGAATCTAAACTCAAAGTAGGATCACTAATAACATACCTTATCATCGTTGACTTCCAGCTCCTAGTGCATCTGCCCACATATTAGATGCTATTGTATCTCTCCAATTATTAGCGTATTCTCTTCTCTTTGTTGAGATTCAAGAACACCGAAATTTCCAGTTTCTTCAAAATTAACTTGTTCATTGCTTGTCTCCATCACTTGTTCCGGAAAAGCGTCCGACCGACAATGCTTGCGTAAAAAGTTATGTAATCCAGCACAAGCTAAAACCAACTCTGCTTGTGTTTTAAAGGGAAAAGGAGGAGCAGACTTGAAAATCAAAAAACGAGATTTGAATATACCAAAGATTCTCTCGATTACATTTCTCAAAGATGAATGTCGCAGATTGAACAACTCGTTCTTGTTTTGGGGATCACGACCTTCACCTCTGAAATCTTGTAGATGATATCGGGTACGTCGGAATGGAGCCAAAAAATTGTGACGATTAGCAAACCCACAATCTACTAAATAAAATTTTCCTGAAATTCAAAATTCAATTAGAAAAAATTAAGTTTAGCTATATATATATATAAAAAAAATATGCTACTAATAATTCTATATACTATAGCTTAGCTATATTACCTTCTGGAACATGTAATCTGCTAGTGTTCCTTGTCAGTGCATTGCTTAAAATTTTTGAATCATGAGCTGAACCTTCCCATCCACTAAGAACATACATAAATTCTAAATCGAAGTTACAAGCAGCAAGGACATTTTGTGAGACAAACCCTTTGCGATTACGATAACTATGAACATCATCTCTTGGTATCATCGCAAAAATATGTGTTCCATCAATAGCTCCAATGCAGTCCTATTCAATTTGAAATCTCCAATAAAATAATGGATAAAAAACTATATCATAACTTGATTAAAAACCATAATTTATATGTACCTTGAAGTAGGGATAAAATCTTGTGCTCTCACTTATCTTTGTAGGTGTTGTAACTTCAGGCCTCGCCATCA